TCTCTCTCTGTTTTCCACCTCCTCTTCATCGCCGGACCTCAGGAGTTCTCCTCAGAGATGGCGGGGACGCTTCCGAGCTTTCCCAGCCTGCCTCGGGGGGTGACGGTCCCGGCTCTGCTGGGCTCTCTGCCCCGAGCCGTCAACCCTCCCAGTCTGCCCCGAGGCCTCACCATGCCCAGTCTGCCCACTCTGCCCAGCTTCCCCAGCATTCCCAGAGGGATCACCATCCCCAGCCTGCCCAGGGGCGTGACGCTGCCCAGGATGGTCTCCATGCCAACCGTACCGGAGGCCCCCCGCCGGCTGCTGCAGGACTGCTGCTCCGTGTTCGATCACCAGACGTCTGGAGGTAACCTGACTCTGCTGCATGATGTTCAGTCATTTCATCTCAGTCTACAATGATGATAAAACTGAGACTAAAGCTGAACTTTATCAGTGATTTTCTCTGAATTGAGTCTCCCTACATATTAAAGGATGTTAAGAGGTTCCAGTTGGTTCTTCTAACAGAACCAGGCCTACATCTGCTGGTCCTTACTGGTTCAAATTGCTCCACTAAGACTCAAACGTCCCTTAACTGGATTCTACTGGAACAGCAACGAGACGGGCTGCAGTTTAAATCCCCACCAGGACAGAAGCTGCTGATTTGAAGCAAATCCTTCATAATTTGGCTTCTTTCTGTCCTGAAGAATCCAGATTTTTCTGCTGGTTTTTAAGTGATGTTTGATGTTTGCATGCGTCCTTACCTTAGTAAACTGTCCCAGTTGTAAAGCAGGAGGAACCTTCTGATGGTTCTGTTTCATTACCGGAGGTACTGCTGTCATAAACAGGACAGATGGACCCGCTATTCAAGGCGAGTGGGAACTTTCAGAACGTTTAATGACAGAAAATAATGAGAAAACAGAACCGACACTCTGGAGGGAGAAACACAGGTAAGTGACCACGATCATCTGACAGGAGATGATTATCAGAGTGAATCACTTCCCTGGTTTAACTGTTCAGTTCATCCTCTAAGGAGGAAGGGAGGATTCAGCTGATGGACTCCCAAAACAGCTGCCCAAAGTGTCCCCCATGCAGCGACGCCGGTGAGCAGGCAGGAGACCGATCCAGGTCAGAGAAACAGTTCAGGACCGGACAGTTCCGAGTCCATAGCCGGACCAGGGATTCCGACCCGAACAGGAACAGATGGATCCAGGGTTCCAGGAATCCTCAGAGCGTTCAGGCAGGTTCAGAGTTCTATGAGTCCAGCAGCAGGTTCAGACAGAGACGCGCAGAAGGCGGGCAGGCTCAGTGGCAGCGAGAACATTGTCAAGACATGGTACCAGGATAACTGCAGAACTTTAAAATGGTCTCCTACTAGGAGCCAGGCTTACGGGAATTAAAACTGATCTCCCCCGCGTTCCGAGCCAGGCCTCCCCTCGCAGGCCAAGCTAAAACCCTGAGGGCTTCGTGGAGAAGAGCCGGGAACCAACCAGGAGACAAACCCCTCAATCCACTGGCCTCCAGGAGTCAGGACATGAACCAGGAACTTAACTAAACTCATTAAGCAAAGATTAATAACTTACATTGAGACATAAGAAGAATAAACAAAGAAATACTAACGAATAATGATCTGGCACCGATAGCTGGACAGAACCGTATAAATAGCAGAGGGAGCAGGTGAATAAGATTAATGGTAATTAGTGAGCAGGGAGGGAACAGCAGGTGAAGGAAGTTAGTAATTAGATCAGCTAACCGGGGATTCGATCATGACAGGAAATGGTTCTACCTTCAAGTTCTTCAAATTAAATCAACATCCAGAAGCCTGAAGTTTGGAGCCAAACACATCCTGACCTTTACTGGACGGGCTTCTAGATTGGCCCCGCCCCCAACCATGAGGAAATGTACTGAACTACGTTTAAAAGCAGAGGCGGTGGCGTGAAGCCAACCAGCAACTTAACAACAGATGATTGGTATCTATTTTATATATTTGAGTACGTGCAAATGACATCAAATCCTCTAAACGGTTTTAAAGTCGTACGGAAGCGACTGTTCAAACCGTTGCACCTGAGTGGTGATTGGTCGTTTATCAAGGGGGCGGGATTGTTGTGGCGGAAGGTTCACAAACAAGTTTGATTGTGGCCAGTTTGCTGGAAGCATCTTGCTAACTAGTTAGCAACTTAGTGCTAGCAG